CTCATCATTGACAGCTACAAGTGATAAACTCACCAAGCTCCTCCTGCCGTGAGGTTTCAGGTGCTTTAAGAAAGATAGTCTTCAGTGTGTGTGTGTGTGTGTGTGTGAGCACAAGCTGCTCTGCCTCCCATTTATACAGGAGGCTGAAGGGGGTGTGGCCAACAGTGCCCGCCCCCCTCCACCACGACACCTCCTACTGTCTCACCATAGTTTCAGCAGTCACTTCAAACCAGCACAAACACAAACCTGACGCTGACCAACCACCAAACTGACCAACCACCAAACTGACAAACCACCAAACTGACGAACTGAGTTGGTCTGAAGTCAAACCTGACGCTCACACCTCACTGATGTGGAATTATCTTCTCTAATCTGGTAAAAAACAACAACAACAACAACATCACCACAGGTCTGAGTTCCTGAAGCACCTACTGCCAAGTCACCTACACGTCCTCCATCACTGTCTGTCACTGACAGGTCCTGTCTCCCTGCCTCTGCCTCCCTCTCTCTCCCTTCTTCTCTCTCCCTCTCTCTGATTGAAGAAGGATTGTTGGAGGTGTGTGTGTGTGTGTGTCGTGCAGAGATGGATGCGAAGAGAGAGACAGAGATATAAAGTGACTGACAAGGAGATGAGCGAATGAAAGAGAGGGAGAGGGTGTGAAGGAAGGAGAGGGTGAGAGAGGGAGAAGAAGAGAGAGATTGAGGGGGATGGGGAGACCAGAGCAGAATGCGGTAAAAGAAATGGAAGCAATGGGAAAAGAGGGAAGTAGAAGATGAAGGAGAGAATAGACGTTCGACACTTCCTCCTGTCTCACACACACACACACACACACACACACACATACACAGGGCTGCTGACTGGTTTTAAGATGTGACAAAGTTTAAATGTGTTTTGAATCTGCTAAATTTAGGTGCACTGTAAAGCAGTGAGACAGTGTCAGTGGTGCCACGGTCCACAGAAGTCAGGAATATCCTAATATCAAAACATGACCAGACCAAATATATACCTGAGGAGAAACAAAGGTGTCGTCGTTTGAGGGGGGGGTTTCAGGCAGTAATAATGATTAGAGCGACTGTTGACGTCTCAATAACAACCGTGTCATTAACTGTTGTTTGAGGTCATAAAACGGTCAAAGAAATCTTGACAGGAAACTTCAATAGATGTGGACTTAATGAATGTACTTCGTTATGATTCCTATACACATATATATATATGTGTGTTTTGTTTTCTGCACAGTCAAAACATGGAACCTCCAGTTCTCTATCCCATTAATCATGTTTGATGATGACGTGACACACAGGTGTAGTGATGTCACGCTGTTTTTACCTCGCAAGACAGGACAAACAAAAACAACAGCAGACACAAATACATTAGGTAAACTGAAATAAAAATACCATACATAATAACATACATCTGTGGGGATTTAGCTTTTTTATCTGTAGTGATGTCACGCTGTTTTTACCTCGCAAGACAGGACAAACAAAAACAACAGCAGACACAAATACATTAGGTAAACTGAAATAAAAATACCATACATAATAACATACATCTGTGGGGATTTAACTTTTTTATCTGGTGACTGTTGAAACATTCATGTTTTTTTATACATGTACCTTATTTTCCAGACTCTAAGTTGTTTTAGTCCCATCTGTCAAAAATGTGTCGTGAAGAGAGGGAAAAAAACACGTAAGTCACACAGAAGTCACTTTTAAATTCAGAATTTCAGTCCCATAGCCTTAAGAAAATAGGCTAATTATATCAAGTCGAAGTTTCCGATCTCCGCAATCTTTGCATCGTTGAGTCCATTAAATTGATCATCGTCGGTTTTGTTTTTAAAAGAAAGTCTCATTGGTTCAGTTGTGTAAACACAGAAATAAGTAGAGTTTTTTGTGTGTAGTGTAGACGGTGGCCATAGATTTGACATATTGATCACTTAGACAATATTAGTCACATAATCAGAAATCTTCTTAAACGAAATGCAACCTATCACCTGACAAAGGTTACAGGACCTGCCCTGATGTCGTAGGACTATTTTCCTGGTATTTAAACAAAGTTTTACCAATTTGATGAGCGCACAAATATAAAAGTGTTATTTTAGACAGAAAACATTAATAAAATAATTTCATATAAATAACTTAGGAATCTATTAAATGTTGTTCCTACTGTAAATGTTTAACTTTGTGTTATTGTTGTGTTGTCAGAACCAGTGTCCTCTGGTGGAGAGACAACATCCTTCCACTGAGTAAATTCATGTGCCTTATTAAATTGTAGGGTTCTAATGATTGGATCAATTAGGCAAAGTAGTGAGTGGGTCACCCAGCAGGGGGCAGAATGCTCAATGTTCCATGTCACAATGTAGAATGGCAGCTGGTCTAACGTCTGCTGTGAATCCAAATCTTCTTCGTTTGACGCCATAGTGACCAGTACCATGTTTTGGATGTAGTAGATGAATGAACAAGTTCCTACTGTTCCATCATCCATCCATCATCCATCCATCCATCATAAGTGACACTAGCGTTTCATCCATTCAGCCATCTGAGGACTGTAGTTCTGATCTGTCCAGAACAGAGCAGCTTCTAAGGTCACACTGTCTGCTGACCTGCGACGTGGGTCACATGGTCCAACTACGTTACATTTCCCAGAAGAAGATGGTTACCATTTGTGGTCGTTCTGTGGCCCGACACGCTGGCCACTTGTTGCATACAGGCAAACTGAAGCAACCACGGTGGAGTGAAGTCCAAAGTGGAGGAGCAGGTCAGAGAAAAGAGCTGATGATGTTGACGGAGGTGAATGGATGGCTCTGAAGGAACAGATGTTAATGTGGAGGAACGGTTTAAGACGTGAAACTGTTGGTTCACAAAGTGTTTCAGTTTCCATCACTGAAATTGTTGGGTTTTTTTTAAATGAAGTTTCTATCATAAATGTCATGGCAGTTTGGTAAACAACAGGATAGAGAGAACATGGAGGGAAGAAAGAGAGACTGCAGAGGACAAAATGGGGCATTAGAGAGGAAGCAGAGAGAGAGGGGGAGGGAGGGAGAGAGTGGAGATAAAGAGAACACAGTGAGAGAGAGAGGGAGGGAGAGAGAGAGAGGGAGGGAGGGAGGGAAGGGGAGAGGCATGAGTAGCAGCGTTGGGGGAGGGGAATATGTAAAAAGAGAGCAAAAGAATGGAAGCGAGACAGAAAAAAGAAGAGTAAGGGAGGGGGAGAGTGAG